GAATAAAAAAAACCTGGGGAATAGCTCGGCTTTCTTGCCTACTTTGGCATTTAACAGAAAGCCCTTCGCTAGACAGCTGAAATTTTGCCACGAAGGGTTAGTTGAATGAAATGCCTGTGGCTTGACTTCTGCCTTACACTTCCCAGCTTCAATGTGGGCGTCCCACCCCATCCCTTGGTAGCGGGGAAGGAAAACTTACCCCATGTATTTTGCGCTGTGTGTGTTTTTGATTCAGTTCAGTAGGTTCTGCTGTGCACACTCACATGCAGGGGATATCACCAGTCAGGGTTGGGGACGCTTGCTGCCCTCTCTCTCCTCCATGCACATTTTCTCACATGGCCCGCATTAGATCTAGCCTCGAACCCTCTGCACCTGCTATTTCCTCTACCTAGGAATCCTGCCCAGTCCTGGGATCACAGTCATTTTATTGTCCGTTGTCCCTGACTTGTGTCCCAGGGCCTCACACATGGCAACGCCGGGGAGTGCTCAGAAACTACTGAGCCAGTGGAGGAATGGAAGCAAATAGATAGAACAAGCCAACTCAGGGGCCAGGAGCAGGAGGGGGGTCCTGGGGACCGGAGGAGCAAGGCTGCTCTTTGACTGGGGAGGCCTAGGTCAGCTGGACGATGCAGTAGGGATAACAGGGCCTTAGCCACACAGGGAGCAGCACTAATGGCAAGGGCATTGCAGAAGCAAAAGCAAAGAGGTAGGAACAGCCTGAGGAAGTGTAGAAAAATTCAAGCCATCCAGTTTGCCAGGTGGGTGAGACTGAGAACCTACAGGGCAAAACCAAAGAAATGCTACTGGGTGGGATTTTGAATGGCAGGTGATACACCTTTTACTTGGTCTAGGAAGCAGCAGGGAGCCATTGGTGGTGTTGTGGAGGGCAGTCACGTGACAAAGCCCATCTCGAAGGTGTTTAAACCAAACAGCTGAGTGTGATGGCGATAGGAAGGGAGACCCTGAAAGGGGGCTGGCTCAGATCCAGGTAAAAGGCGCTGAGCATTGGAGCCAAAGATGTGGCATGACCTCTTGAGGGCTTTTTCTTACGTAATATTTGACAAATATAAAATAATATATGATATGTGACAATATGACTCATAAAAGCACAACAATAAAAGGGACCCCTGTTAATTTTCACCCTACTTAGGGGGGCGAACATCAAACATTGCCAGCACTGTTGAAGGCCCTGCGTGCCCCTCCCAGATTCACCCCTAGAAGTCACCATTGCCTGAGTCTTACTCCTCCACCTCTTGGTTTCTGTATAGTTTTGCTATATATGGATATATTCCTGTGCAGTGGATTTAGCTTGGCTTATTTCTGACCTTTATATTATTAAAACCATATCATATATAATCTTCAACTTTTTTTAGACTTAACGTTACACTTCTAAGATTCATACATTTTGATGCCTGTACCTGTGGGTCATTCACAATCACTGCTATAATATGTTGCTGTTTGTTAATTTTCATGGTAATGCATATTTGTGTTATTTCCCTTTTGCTGCTGTTACTGTGTTTTTTTTTCTCACTTTAAATTTTTTTTTTCTTTTTAGTTATACGTGACAGTAGAGTTTGTTCGACATATCACACCTTCATGGAGTGTAACTCCCCATTCTTGTGGTTGAACATGATGTGGAGTTGCCCCTGACCTGTATTCATCCATGAACATAGGAAAGTTGTGTCCGATTTATTCTACCGTCTCTCCCTTTTCCATCCCCACTCTCTTCCCTTCATTCACCGTTTTGCAGGGAATTCCACTGAGACCCCAGGACTTTTCTAATCCTGAGGCATTAGAAGAAAAGAGCACAGAGGAAATAATATAATTCTTCCCTCCCTACCCCCTTCTTGTGTGCTGGTTGTGCCACACAGCCACAAACATTTCTTAATTTCTTCTCTGACATGCAGGGAAGAGTTGCTCTTACCTATCAACTCAGGAGTGGGGCCTCTGGGTGGCCATGAATGGCACCTGGTCAGCATTATGAGACAACTGTTTTCCAAAGTGGTTTTACCAAGTCACTGTCCTGTCCACCATCCATAGATTTCTGTTTCTCCATATCCTTGCCAATCCTGGTGCTGATGCTAAGAATGGTTAAAGGTAAATCTCAGCCTGGCTTCGAGACTTCTTAGTATCAACAAGAAAAAAAACAGCTAGTATCCATTACAATGAGAAGATCTTTGTCAAAATATGTTTGGGGCAAAGCGCATCCTGATTGCTTCCTGCACCTCCAGTCTCCAGCCCCTGCCCAGGGGTTAAATAGGAAATAGGCGTGTGCTAGCCTTCTCACACCGCAGTGTGGCTTTTGGGGTTCCATCTATTTTCCCTTAATAGAACAAAATCATCCATCAATGTCTCCGGCCCATCCCCCTTCTTCATTTTTGTGTAAGTGAATTTATTCTGGACGTTATTTTCAAATTACATGTGTCAGTTTGATGAGCTTCTGCCTTCCTGTGTTGTTCCAAGATTTATGTGGGGGAGCGTAAAGAGGAGCGTGATGGAGAAAGGGGCTTTTTGCTAGATCAGCGTAAGACAGAAGATGATGTTGTCATGCCTGAGGCTGTCCTCGGACACCAGCCGCCTTAGCAGGGAAAGGCCGGCTGTCATGTTTCATTTCTCTCCTCCTTATGTGTGTTTTATCTTCGAGCTACTGTTTTATTGTGCTTTGTCTTAAATGTACCCAGAATACTTAACCCCAGAGGTTAGCAGCTTCTAGTGGACTTGAGGCGAGAGAAGTAGACATGCAAAGTTCCGGTTGAAAGAGATTCACCTTTTTGCAGTGAATTCCACCGAGACCTCAGGACTTTTCTTCTCTTTTTTTCTCTTTCCCATCTGAACTGCCTGAGGCATTAGAAGAAAAGAGCACAGAGGAAGTAATATAATTGTTCCAGCAACTGCTCAGAGGTATCCAAATTCACAATTCACAGCAAGGGGTCAAAGAATTGATTATTAAGACCTATCATTATAAAAGTGCTAGGAATGTCTGTCTGTGGTCTGAAAATGAGAGGGAAGCAAATGTGCCTCTACATTCATTCCTATAAATCCCCTCCTTTCTTGTGTTTATTCCCCATCTTTAACAACATTGTCTGTCTGGAAGACAATCCACTTGAGTGCATTGGAGATAAAACTTGAAGCTTGGGTCATCTTCCTAAAGTTTGAAGAAATTAATGGGAAGACAGGAGCATTTTGAGGTCTGTCTTTGGGCTTCCTGCAATTATCAAGTGCTGAGTAAATGTTTGTTCCAGAATATGAGTGTAGAAATATCTATAATTAATACTTTCAGGTGGTTTCTGTTGGAACACAGTTAAGTAGTGCCAGGAGGCTGCATGTGGGTCGGGCCTCCGATCCGTGTCGTGTCTCCAAGCTTTAACAAGCTGGGGAGTCTGGTCTGGGAAGCGTCAATCCCCCTTTTAGAGCCTACTCTTTCACTATATAAAAGTGGGTGGTGGTGACATCAGCATGCACAGGCCTGGGTGATGGATGCAGCCAGGAGGAGTTGACATCAACGTTTTTAGACATCTCGTTTGGATGGATTTAGTTTCTCCCTTGATAGAAAAGCTTGAGAATTCTACAGTATTTCCTCCCAGTCTATGTAATAATTGAACAATAGAAGTCTTCCTATGAAACCTGTCCCTCCCCTACTGCCAAGGTTACTTGAGAGGCAAGAGATTGTCTTAGGAAGCTTCTCTAAGTGAGCCTTCTGACAGTGTCAACCACCAGCTCTCACCCCACCCCTCAGTTCTAGCAGCCAGTTTGGCTGTTTTTCTGCTGTCCAAGAACTCCTTGTGCGACACTTCAGTAATCTGAGCCACATACTAGCTGGTCATGGCAGCTCAGGGCATTGGCTCAGTACTGAACTTTGGGGGACAGGTCTGCCCCATCTCCTTTCTTCAAGCATCCCTGGTAGAGACTGAGACACTAGTGGGCGTTCATGTGTATGTGAAGAAATTTGAGGTTTTGAGACCTTGGGAACAGGGTTCTGTTATAAAAGGATGGGGACCTTCTGCAGGACCTCCCTATGGTGCCTCTTTGGTGTCAGGTGAGTTCTGAGGATTCTGATGCCCCCAAATGATTTTTGCAGCCTGTGTAACAAAGTCCCTAGGCATCTTTTCAGTGGTGTTTGCACCTGAAGTGTGGCCTTGTGATCTGACTGCCTGAGCAGGGGACACTGCTTAGCTGACCTTGTCTCTGTTTAGCATGAGTCACAGCTAATTGGTCAGCCACCTTAGGTCTCAGAGGCTGGGAACTGACTCATTCAGAAGCCATGTGTCCCATGACCTGCAGCCTGTCTCACGGAAGGTCTGCCTGTCCTAATTTGATTCCCAGCCATCTCTGTATGTCTCCATGAAATGGTCTCCCAGTAGGTGCTTTGAGCACTGTAGAAAGGTGATTTCAGAATCTGTTACCTCATTTTCTCTCGCCCATCCTTCCCTAAACCAGCTTCTGGGTGGGGCTCAAATTAAGAAAGCATCATTTGTATCAACTACTTAAAATGAAAAATAAGCTTTAGAAACAACTACTTATTGTGAAAATCAAATTTCATGCACAAACTGGGTAACATAGAAAACTGAGGAAATCAGATAGATAAAAGGAAGAAATAGAAATTACTGCATTCTAACCATGTAGAGATTAGTATTGTTAACATTTGGTGGATAGTTTTTAGAATTTATTCTTCTACATATATGTATTTACAGGTGTATGCATATGTGCATATTTAATTCCATTTGTGTTTTGCAAAAGTGGGATGCAATTTTATATTCTGCCTTTTTGGGGTACTAATGATAAGGTTTTGCACAAGTATTTTCAATATTCTTCCATGTCATTGTCTTTATTGGCCGCATCTGAATGTGGCTGCACGAGGTTCACTGAGCCTAGTCAGTAACTTTCAGGTATTTGTTTCGAGTTTGCTTTGATGTAGCAGCGTTTGCCAACAGCCCTATCACAAACCCCTTGGCAACGGGATCCTTGCACATATCTGGTTTCTTTGGAATAAACCCCCAAGGGAAAGCGGTAGGCACAAATGGTGTGTGAATTCTCAGACTTCCTTCCTTGACCCCAGAACCACTGCACCCACTGGCCCTCCACCGCGGGCACGGGAGTGTGTGCATTTCTCCGGGTCCTTGCCATTGTGCCATCAGTGAATCTTGTGCCCGTCTTTCAACCGCTGAAAAGTGATCTCTCGTTGTTTTGCACTTGCTCAGTCGCTACTGGTGTCGAGCATTTGTTTTTCATGTGTTTTGGCCACTGTCATCAATCCCTTGTAAACTGCTTCTTCTTTGCCAAACTTCTAATGCACGATACAAGCTGAGCTTTAATTAAGCTTGTTCCGAATCCTAAGTCCTGTAAAGCCTTTCACAAAACAGGGGACTGTAAAGCCCAGGGTTTTTTCTTAATACCACTCATCTCCTCTTAGCGAGGAAGGAAAGATTCAAGAACCAAAGACTAAAGGACAAGTCCCCAGCCAGCGTTCTGCATCCCTCTTGGCCAGTAGAGGTAGCTGTTGTACCAACTAGGTCCCCAGCCTTATCTGGGAGCTCAGCCTTTAAGATAGGAAATAAATCAGTGCATGCAGTATTTTTAACAACAGTATTTATTTAAAAAGAAAAAAAAAACTCATGATTTTGTGGTTTTTAAAAACTGCTTATTTTGTGCCCTCTTATGTTTGAATATAAAGCTCTCTGAATATTAGTAAGAGCCACTATATGAAATTTATTATTAATCATCTATTTTTAGGCATGAAGCTTTGCTGTATTATGTTTTAGCAGCAGAAACTGGAATTGAAGTGTCACAGACAAATTTAGCACACATCTGTGAGGAAAGGCCGGTAAGTAAATGGATTCTTCTGCAAGCAGAAGCTGTAAGGTTAAAGATAATGAATTAAGCTTTACCAAGGCAAAATTAGTCACTTGGCCAAAATATTAATGAATTAACTTTTTCTCTCTCCTTTACCTCTTAGGACCTAGCCAGGAGATACTTGGGTGTTAATTGTGTTTGGAGATACTATAATTTCTCTGTTTTTCAAATCGATGCTCCTTCATTTGGTATGTATAGAAAAAACGGTGCTAAACTAAGCGTTAGAGGCCTTTAATCTTTAGTAACAGGGAACATCTAACAGCTTGGTGTGAAGTGTGATATTTCTAAACAATTAGGAATGAAAGTGAAAAATCTCTGCTATTAAAGCCCTGGCTAACCTGCTCTTAGCCCCTGCAGGGCACTGAAGCACCTTGTTCCACTCACCAGACCCACCTTCAAACCAAGAGAATACAAAAGCCAACCTACTATAAAGGGCTGCCCTGGCCTGTTGTTTGCTTTTTGCCCTCAGACGTGTTCCCAGCCCTGTGCTCTGCTCTGCTGTCTGTGGGAGGCGGTGGCCACCAGGAATGCAGTGCCAGGCTCCTGTCCCAAGAGCTTCTGATGGGCATCACCAGTGGTGGGCACCGGGGAAGGCTGCAGGGTGGGAGGAGGGGGAAAGCCCAGCTCTCTCTTCCCATCTCTCTGTTTTGCACCAGTTTTCTGCCAGTGGCCACATGTCCCATGGTTCCAGCCCCTGCCTGGTAACTCCGCTCTCTCTGGTCCAGCTCCCAGGGGACTGGGAAGCTCTGGGAACCTCACAGCCACCCCCACTTCCCCAGCCTAGAAGGTGACAGTAGCTTCCTTCCATCTCCCACTTGCCTTCTGTCTCTTCCGGTACCCAGGCATCTACTTTCCCATGATAAAAATCCCTCTTTGAGCTACCCAAGGTGGATTCTGGATTTTCTGATTGGATATTGACTGACACCTATGCTCTCAAATGTGTTTCCTCAAAGTAAACATGAAACACGCGGCTAACGCAAAGCAAAGAGATAGGAGACACATCAAACACAGCAGCAGCATTTTAGATGTGGAATAGAGGGCCAGGGACAACCTTGGCCGCTGGGCTGAGTTCGCTGTCAGACAGTCTCAAACAGATCTGCTCAGGGGAGCTACCTGGAGCATGGAAAGTGTCTAGATAGGATGCTCCAGGAAAAAAAAAAAAAAAAAAAGAAAGAAAGAAAGAAAAGAAAACCTTTTTTGTTTTCTCCTGACACAGAAAGGAAACCTAAAAATATTCTGCATTCAAATTTTAATAGGATACACTCTGTTGAGTGAATGGCCCAGTAATTGACAATGTTAGCCTAAAATAAAACTGCTTGACAAGTGGATATGTTTTGTGTTCTGCAGCATATTTGAAAATGGGAGACCTGTACTACTATGGCCACCAAAACCAGTCACAAGACCTTGAATTGTCTGTGCAGATGTACGCCCAGGCCGCGCTGGAGGGAGACTCCCAGGTAAAACAAGCGAAGCCTGCTCTGAAGGCCAGGAGACCTAGCAGTCTTCTCTGTGTACGTCCACAGCATGATTTGGTCTTTGTCCATGCACGTTCACACGTCCTTCAGACAACTCCATGAGGACCTGGGGAACCTTGATTGAGTGCCTACTGTGTTCCCCAAGCAATCCTATGGAGCTGGAGATTTTATATCTATGTCATAGTTAGAGCCACAGCAAGGTAATGAATTGTTCCAGGCCAAATAATCAGGTAAAAAATAGAACAGCCAGAGCCTAATCCTGGGTCTCTGGCTCCAATCCTGAGGAGTTTTCTACTGAATTCTGTCAAAATAACTCACAGATAGAAACTCAAGGATCTAGAAGAGTGGCTGTTCCAGGACGTGCTTTCCATGTGCGATTGAGCTCAATGCTTCAGTGACAGGACTTTTTCTCAATGACTTTTTAAAAAAATTTCTTATTTTAAAATCACTTTAGGCTTATAGAAAAGTTGCAAAAGAGACTCAGAGCATCCCCATACACCCCCGCCCAGCTTCTTTTAACGTTAACATCCTGCATGGCCACCATGCCCCTGTCAATATCCGTACCCACTCTTCAGACTATTTGGATTTCACGTTTGTCCACTGATACCCTTTCTCTGTTCTGGGATTCAGTGCAAGGTCCCACATTATACCTAGTTGCTTTCTATCTTTCATTCTCATCAAGTGGTTGGACATTTTTGAGCCTGTTTTTTCATGAACCGGCTGAGGCTGAGTGTTTGGGGCAGGAACGGTAGAGATGTCACGTGTCCTTGGCGCGTCACGTCGGGGCTGTGTGGTGTCAGTGACTCTCATCCCTGATGAGGTTAAGCGTCTCTGGTTTCTGTTGGGTTTCTCCACTGTAAAGTTAACGTTGTTTCATTTCTAATTTATAAATATCTTGGGGAGATAGTTTGAGACTATGCAGATATCCTGCTTGTCCTCAAAATTTTTGCCTATGAATTTTAATAGATGGTGCCTGCAACCACTATTAGGACTAATGATAGTTCTCACTTGCCTCCTTCCCACTCCATTTGCTAATTGGGATCTCCCTGAGGATCTCAGGGCAGGTTTTTTTGCAGTGGAAACTGGAATAGTTTCTGACTATGCTCTAGAGTCTTATCACAGAGCGAAAGTTGGAGACTCATCCTCACCTTGGCTTCCCTTACCCTTCTTTTTTCTTAGTGGGGATATTACATGGGAGGGGTTGGTCCCCAGGGTTAAGATCCTACATCTCTCCACTCACAGCTGCTTGTGTATGGGAAGTCACTAAATCTCTGAGACTCCATTTCTCGTCTGTGGACTGGGAAGATAACAGCATCCCCTCCTTGGAGGTGAGGATTAAGTGAGGTGCTGTGTTCAGCTCTGAGCCCCAACACCCAGGATGCTAACTGGAGCGTGATCTGCTGTTTTTTCTGGAATGAAGTAGAAGTTTCTGCTACAGGGTTTTGTACAGAAACAAACTCCCTTAGATGATGTCGGCCATCATTTAAAATGAAGCCTGGATAATTTGGTTTTCATTTTTGATGATCACTTTTTTAGGAAGACAATGATTCAAAAACAATAAGGGACAACGTATAAAGAAAAAAATCAAAAGATCCTTCATTACGCAGCAGAGGCTTTTCCTTCTTCATGTCCTTGTGTCACTTCCGGTCCCTGCTCACTGGCACATGCACCTGCAAGGTGACCTCTAGTGTGCGGGCCACTCAGACCGCCCTGTGGTTTTCTTGGTCTCTCTGCTTGCTACTCTCAGAGGCCCCACATTCTGCTGAGCTGCAGGGCTTTGCCTGCTGCCGGGCGCTGCTGCTTGCCATCACTGGCTTGTCCACTGATTCAGCCCATCTGTGTCCCTTCCCGCCACGTCTGAGGCAATGCTTAGTGGCAGGGCACGAGGTGAAAATCAACCTCCTGCCTTCGTGGGGCTCAGAGTCGACCCAGGAAGACGTGGAGGCTGCTTGCCAGGGAGCAGCAGCCACAGCTAATGCTGCCCTGAGCACTTTCGAGTCTTTTCACTTGAATAATTTAGTTATATTCTGAGACGGCATTAGGGAGGCACACGGTCCCAGTGCCTCTACGGCTCCGCGATGGCACGCCGCGCAGCTGCTTTCTGAAGACTTTTTTGATGGATGCCTCGCCTGAAATCCTGTCGGCCCTGGACAATAGAGTTTTGCAAATGGGACAACTGCAAATTAATGCTTCCTTGTTGTTTTGAATGGCATTTATTTAATGATTAGTGAGGACAGACACCTTTACCTGTACTTGCTGATGGTCGTTTGGTCTTCACATCTTAGGTGAATCCTCTATTCTTAGTCTTTATCTACTGGAGTCTTCTTTCTTTCTTTTTTTCTTCAAGCCATAATTAGTTCTTTATTTATTTGCTTAGTAGATAATGAACCTTAAAGCTATTACATTGCATACAAATATTCCCCAAACTATTTTACCACTTATTCTCGTAATATGTTTCCACTGATTAGAAGAACCTTTAAAATGTTACAAAGTCATTTTTCTGATAAGACTTCAAGTTTTAAGAGTATCTTCTTTTCAAAGAGAAGAGAATATCCCGTGCTCTGCTGCTGTGTGTGTGTGTGTCTACGTCTTGAAGATACTTAACATTTAAATCCACTTAGAGGTTATTTGACAACATGGTGGAGGTTAGAGAACCTGGACCCCACCATCTGCTTATATTTGAATCTCAGCTCTGCCACTTTCCAGCTGTGTGATCAAGGGCAAGTTCTTTAACCTCTCTGTGCCTCAGCTTCCCAATCTGTAAAACAGGATAGTAGTGTCATCTCGACTCCTTGTTGTCAGGATTAAGTGAATATACACAAAAGAGTGAGGCCTCGCATACAGCAAGCACTCAGAAAACGTGACTATTTTATGTCTTCATGGTGGCCATGCAGGATGCTCTCCAGAGTCCCGGTTGTGCAACTTGGCAGTTCGTGATTTTCATTTAGATTGTGGTCTTGGCAGCTGAAAGGCAAGGCAGAGGGAGGACGGGAGCCATTCAAACATGCCCGTGGATTCCTGGAAGGGCCACAGTCCAGCTCCATTGGAAAGGCTCCTCGTGGTGAGCCCCACTCATGTTTTGCTGGCTTTGTGGTCTGGCCACATGCTCAGCTCATGATGGCCAGTGACCTCCAGCTGGCATTGTGGCACCCATCTTGTGGGACCCATTTCCACTGTCGGGCTCCTGAACCAGGATCTGCACAGTCCATTAAGGCGGGCCCACCCTGAGGGTCAAGAATAAGGTACCAAGGAAGAGCCAGGAAACGTACATGCGGAGGTCTGTGCCAACAGAAATCATGAGGTTTTCCACGCTGACCCAGGAGAGCTGAGGCAAGTGCTGTCTGTGACTCTGACACGCTTGACTTTAGAATGTCAGTCACAGGTAGCGTGCAGCCACAGAAATATTTTGTCAGATTTGATGGTGACCGAGGCCACCGTCCGTGATGGACATCGCCTCCAACGCGGTGCTCTGGTCTTGCAGTGCGTTCTGTTTTGAGAGCGCGAACAGGAAAGGACAGACCTCCCGGTTGACTGGCTGCTGAGCAGATGGGACGCAGCATCCTTTGAAAGCCTCCCGGTTCTCTTGCAAATAAATTTCTGAGATGCATATATTTAGGGAAACAATTCATCAATGAAGATGACTAAACCATCTGGCTATAGGGGCTGGGAAAAAATATGTAGAGGTTTTAAAAGTTTACATGCTGATGAAGGGTGTGTGTCTGGGTTTTATTACGAGGAGCTGATGGGTCTGGTTTGTGCCTTACCTTTAGGGATTTTTTAACCTGGCCCTGCTAATTGAAGAAGGTGCTATCATCCCACACCATATTTTGGATTTCCTGGAAATTGACCCATCACTCCATTCTAGTAACATCTCCATTCTCCGGGAACTATACGAACGGTGAGTTCAGAGATGCCTTTATGCCATGGCATCTGGGGAACCCAAGGAGGTGGGAGTTGTTTCTTGATTCAGTTCTTATTTTGTGATGTCAATTGTTAGAGAAAGGGCCCAAGATTTGCTTCTAGTAGTGAACAGTTAGCCAAAGCCTCGTGTCTTCCTTTTCCAGTCTCTGAGGCTCATGATATACAATGTGCTTGATCTGAAGTTCAAGTGCTGACCAAGGTTTTCCATGACAGTGGAAAAAAAAAAAAAAAAGCCAGGCATCTGATTCTGAAAGATAGGGAGGCCTTCCTGTCTCTGGACTTTGGACAGACACTCCAACAGCAATGCTGTTCTAACAGGCCCCTTGCTCCGTGTGATCCTTCATAGCGAAGGGTGCAAGTGACCTTTCCCTCAGATTTCTTCGAGGATCTCAGAAATCCAGGTGAGGCACAGAGTACTGAAGTGCCTTTGCTCCCGCGCCCCTCACTTCAATTGTGCTCGCGTGTGCAAGAGCAGAGGTGTGCAGGCATGAGCTCTGGAGAGGCCGGTCGAGGGAAGGGCCACCAAGTCGCCCACCTGACGGAGGCTGGCTTTGTCGGCAGGTGCTGGAGCCACAGCAGCGAGGAGTCCTTCAGCCCCTGCTCCCTGGCCTGGGGGTACCTCCACCTGCGGCTTATCTGGGGCGCTGTCCTGCACTCTGCCCTGGTAGGTACCGTCCCCGCAGCCCTGCCCTGTGGCCCCTGCCTGGGTCAGTCATCTGAGGCGTGCTTCTGGTGTCTGCAGATCTACTTTCTGGGAACCTTCCTGCTGTCCGTAGTGATCGCTGGGACAGTGCAGCACTTCCGGGACGTCTCAGGTAAAGCCTTCTCAAAGCCACTTCGTCTCGGGGAGGGGGGGCACTCCCTCCCCACACCCTCACGGAGCCACGGCCCAACTTCAGCTTGGGCATGCACAGCATGGGGACCCCCAGGAGCGTGTCATACTCCCTGGCTGCCAGGAGGTCACAAAACTAATAGATTTTTCAAAGTGAGGATTTTTTAAAAAGCTAAAGAAATGGAACCAAAATATCCTCTCCTGCTGAAAATACATCGTCTAGCAAAATTGTACCTCTGCAAACCCAGCTCAAAAGCCCCTCCTGCATTAGGCCTTCCCTTTTCTTCCAGTCCAATAAGCAAAGGTGCGAGGAGACAAGCAAATACACAGCGCACAAACCTCCCCAGCCACGGGGACACGAAGGGAGGGGCCAGGAGGACGTCACCTAGCTGTGTTTCCACTGAATCACTGTTACTTTTCTGAGTTGAGTTGGTAGTTAGGGGAGCGATGTCCCAGTCACTTCTATTTGGGCTTAAAGTCCAGACTTGGCTACTCATTAGCTGTGTGACTTCTGGTGAGTTACTTAACCTAACTGATCTCCCAATTTCTCATTCATCTAATACTTACTACTTCCAGAGAGATAAAATATGAAAAAGAAAAGTGAACTGAGAAGATGCCCTAATAGTAATATAAAGGGAAATGTTTAAAATTATAATAAAATATCATCCATTTCCATATGTAAAATTTTAGCCTAGTGTTTTAATGGGTGCAACCTAGAATTTTAATGGGTGCAAGAATCCTGCAGGAATAATATTAAATGCAGATTCTGCCGTGGGTGTGGGGAGGGGCTGAATGCACCACACTGCTGGGAAGACATGTGTAGTTGGAAGCCTGCTCTTTCCTTCTCTGGATCCATGGCCCTCTGGATAAGTGTGAGCTACTCATTTCCCCTGTTGCGCTGTAGGCTGAGTGGGGGGACCCACCCTGTCCTGCCCAGCAGCTCCCACCTCCCAGGTACTCAAACCTACAGACGCCTCTTGTGAGAACTCCAGCCTCTCACCATCTTGGATGGTTCCAGAAGGACATGGTGACTCACAAAGGCCAACAGTGACATTCACAAATGGGTCAATTAGGGTGAGAAAGGCCCCGGAGCCTCGGCCTAGCCGTTATTTGTGCAGCAGACAATGAACCGCGAAAGCAACAAGGCCCCTGCTGTCCCCGATCACCTCCCTGCTTTGCCTGAGGAGTCACAGGCAGCCCTTCCAGGTCCTCCCAGGCTGGCTGCCTCCTCCACTGCTGGGCGATAAGTCACCCCCACGCACATTCTCCCCCCCCACCCCGGCATTTGTCACCAGGTAGAAGACATTTATTTTGCATCTTGACTGTTTTCCATTTCAAATTATCTTTGTCATTTTGACTCTGTGGAAATATTGTGCTGATGATTACGAATGTGGCTCCATCAGAGGCGCCGAAATCGTCTTTATGATTCCGTGCCAGCTGGTGGCCATGAAAATTCATGGACGGCGGGGATTGCTGCCATCAGAGGCGGCCCCTCTCCTGTCTCTGCACTCGGGGCACCCGGTCCCTCCAGGCCCTGCCAGCATCTTCTTGCTTCTTTCACACATTTTCCTGGCTTTTTTCAACTCTTTCGTTTGCCTCTTCTGGCACTTGCTTCCTTTCCTCTTGACCTATCGAGAGAAAATCTGGAAAACCATTTCACTTTTTGCCCTTCATTAGACAGATGAGGAAACTGAGGCCCAAGAGGTGAAATAGCTTCCCAAAGACCAAATAAAGGCAAGAGAAATGTAGGGCCACAGTCTGGCCGACAATTTTTCAGAATCACAATACTTTAAAACAATGATTATCAACTGTCTTGAACCCACTGCTCCCTCACACAAGGATATTCTGGAACACTTTTCCACTGGAAGTGAAATCCTGATAATTAACCTACACCAATAGAATGCCACAACAGGAATATAAAGAAATCCAAAGTAATCAGTTCTAATAAAATAACCTTTTCCGTATGTAAATTCTAGCTCCTTAGTTTTAAGTGCACAGGAATCTCACAAGGATTGTATTAAAGGCAGGTTCTGATTCGGGGTCTGGAGGCGTTTCTAAACTGCTCCAAGGCGATGCCCACATGGCTGTTCCACAGCCTGGACTTTGGCCAGTAAGGGCGGAAGTCAAAGGAAAAAATCTCTCATTTACAGAAGGGGGCCCCACAGGGGCACCTGCCACCCCGACAGAAGTCACATCGGGAGTGAGGGCCTGGGTACCTTCCTGCTGTGACTTGCACTTATGCTAAGTGCAAACGGTCAGTCGGTCAGTCGTTGTGAAATAGGGAGGTTCTTCATCAGCACAGCAGAGCAGGTGACCTTGGGAGTGCTGTGGCAGGTGACAGAGACACAGGAGGGAGGAGGGGCAGCTGCTGGGCTGATAGGGGCCAAAGCTTCTGCTGCTAGTGTCTCTCCAGGGAGCTGATGGCACCCAAGGGCCCAGGACCTGCCCTACGGAAGGGGAGGACAGCAGGGGGGGCTGGCCAAAGTCATAGGGTGGGGACGGGGGGGTAAGCACAGTGCTGAACCTGTGACAGCAGAAGGCTCAGGACTGCTGAGGACTGCTGCCAGAAGACAGCCATCTTTGTCATGATTTGCCTTTTTTCCAGTTAATTGTTTTTAAAAATTAACAATTCATCACGGAGACTCTCGCCGTCCATTCTGTGTCCAGCTCCAACCCCCTTCACTCTCCTGCCGGGGTTGCCAGCTCTGGAATATACAGCCAGCATGCCACAGCCTTTGTCATATGGAACTGTCCTGTGTTCAGAAGGCTGGCGGTGCAGGACAGCAGTGAGCAGCCCCAGCGCGGTTCTGGGCGAGGGAGGGAGCCTCTTGCACCTCAGGTTCCTCTTGTGTCAAACAGCATGCAGAGCAGTGCACCTGCTCCTGTCGTAGCTGAGAGGACCAAGTCTGGCGACACGGTACATGGTTCTGAGGATTCCACCAACATTAGCTGGGAGCCCCCGGGAATGTCCCCCAGGTGTTTCACCTGTGATAGAAGCGTGCTGAACCAGGTAGCGCCTGCACTTCAGGAGTTTGGTTGGCCTCAGTAGCAGAGCATTGCCAGAGCCGCATGCTTTTCTGTGCTGTGTGACTCTTTCTAAAATATAAGGTTATTTTTTTAAAGCACTGAAACAGCAAGAGGCACTCCACAAACACTGCACTTCAAGGCCCCTTCAAGGGACCTCGCTGACGGCCGGCTTCCATTCCCTCGAGCTCTCTCTTTCCGGAGGCTAAGGCCTCACGGAGTAGTGCAAAGGTCCCTGGTTTTGGACAGCCCAAGGGGCACTTGATTGACCTAAGCACAGAACACACATGGCCCCAGATCTACTCTGTCCCTCTAGGTCCCTCGGATGTCCCTTAGATGGGTCACCTGGCAGCTCCAGTTCTTGCTGAAGGCTGGCCCCATCAGCCTTTGCTCTGAGTCCTGCTGCAGATTGCTGCAGGGGCCAGGAGAGGGCCTGCTGCGGTCCAGCCACAGACAGGCCCAGCCCCTTTACAGACTCCAGAAAGCTCTTTTCCCTGCCTCGCTTCCTCTCAAAAGCACTCTCCCTCTCCCTCCCTGTCAAGGACGCCAAGCATAATTGCCCTAATGGAGCAGGCTTTAAAAATCAAAACAAAAAAAAATCCCAAAGTGAAGTATGTCTAGAGCCTTGTTCACCCCTGCCTGCCCCAAACCTCCCCCCAAGCAAAAGACCTGGAGCCCGCGGGCTGCTCAAAGGACGGCAAAGGGATGGCAGAGGGATAAAACAGGAACCACCTTTCAAAGACAGACTCCTGCCTCCTTAAAGGCCATTGAGAGTCCCCATCCAAGACATCCAGAATCTGAAAGGCTCCAGAATCTGAAACTTCTTGAGCACTGACATAATGCCCCAGAGGGAAAGTTCCACATGTGCCTTCTGTGATGGATCGCAGTCAAAACACAGGTGCCCTGAAAATATCCTATAGGATGACCTTCAGGCTGTGAATAGAGTTTTATGAACATACATGAATTTCATTCTTAGACTTGAGTCACACCCCAAGATATGTCATGTATGTGCAAGTATTCCAAGATCCAAAAAGATCTGCAGTCTGAAACACTTCCGGGTTTGAGCATTTCTGATAAGGGATACCCAGCCTGTAATAGCAGCATAAACTTTATGGATCCACCAGCTCTGAGGTACCACCAGGAACCTAAGGCCAGGCCAGCCCGGTTGGTGAGTTTCTCATGTAAGCCAATGCTTCCTATCCAGCCAAGTGGTTAGCCTGCTGTTCTCTTAAAAAGAGTTCTGATGAGCCAGGTACAGTGGTGCACGCCTATAATTCCAGTGGCTTGGGAGGCTGAGGCAGGAGGATCACAAGTTCAAAACCAGCCTCAGCAACTTAGCAAGACCCTAAGGAACTTAGCAAAACTGTATCTTAAAATAAAAAAAAAAAAATGTAAACAGCTGGGGATGTGGCTCAGTCAGTGGTTAAGCGCCCCTGAGCTCAATCCTCAGTACCAAAAAAATAAAAAAGAGTAAGCTAATATAAGCAAGATTAACTAAGCCTTTCCCTACTCTTTTCCTGTCCTCTAAACTTCCAGTTAATGATATTGCTACTTAAAGTAAAATGCCACAACCTGGTGCCCATGAGAAAAGCAGAAGCCTGAGCCGGGGAGACTTCATGGTGAGGTTCCGCAAAGGCTGCCCCACCTTGGTACCCCACAGCACCTCCACTCGGAAGAAAGGTTTCAGTGCTCTTGATGGATGAGCCAGTGCCTTTGTTTCAGTGCTTTAAAAAAAGAATCTTATATTTTAGGAGACCAGTGATCTTACACCTGCACAGGGCCCTGCTGAGCCCACGGCCAAGTGAAGTAGCCAAATCTTAGCGTAAGATTTCAAGCTCCTCTCCCTTGCACCTCCTCTTGGGAAGGTTCTGCCGTTTCAGAGTTAACCCACTGGGTTCCCCTGTATTCTTTTACATCCACATCTGGTCAGCGGGCCTGCAGACGTTGTTCTAGCAATGTTCTACAACAGGGGTTAACCATCTTTTTTCCATAAAGGGTCAGGTAAGAAACATTTTCAGCTTTCGGGGGTGTCCCTGTCACAGCTCAGTCCTGCCACTAGCGCTCAGAAGAAGCCATTCCAGCCAGGTTTCTGACAAAACTTTCCCGTGGACACATTTACATTTCGTATATTTTCCCCATGTCACAAAATATTCCTCTTCTTTGAATTTCCGATCACCCGTTTAAAAATGTAAAAACCATTTTTAGACCCAGAGCCATACAAAAGCAGGCAGCAGCTGCCTGTGGCCACGGCTGCAGTGGGGCCAGCTCCTGATTATTCTCACTAATGTGCAGGAAATGGTCCCCCAGGCAGCCAGTCATCCACAAATCACTTCTATTTGGCTCTGGAATATACTCTGTAATTTTTTAAACAGCACGCTTATTTTCCTGGTTGCCTTGACTCCAAGTCCAGTAATGAAATTAGCACACATTCCAGGTGGGCAGAGACAAAGGGGCCACTTTACAAATAGGATGGGCTATGGGGGGGCTTGTGCAGCTACTGCAGACCCCCACAGAGGGGAGCGAGGTCCCTAACTCCACGGTAACAAACTGACTGTGGAAGCACCGGCGTTTCTTTTGTGCTCTTACCAGAAGGTGTAAGTGGTGGCCGAGTTGATTAGGCGTTCCTTCTACATTCACACGTTGGCATTTTTTGTCTTAATTGGAAAACTGATTGCCGATTTATCTTGTTACCATGGTGATTTACACAGTCCCTGAGTTAAAAAATACTTGCTTTAGTGCCGTGTTAACTTCCTCAGAGATCATCAGGCAGGTGGGTGCTAGGGTCAGAGGGGGTCTGGGCACCATCTGCTCAAAGCCCCTGATTCACAGGTGGGGAAAGCCAGGCCCACAAAATTCAAGCACTTTAGAGGGAAACATCTGCCATTCTGTACCTATGCTAAGGTCACCTATTATTAGCTAGTGGCAGATAAATGAGACTTGCCCAGACCAGGTCTCCTGACTGCCGCGAAATGGTCTTTCCATCTCATCACCAGATTGCAGTCACTACATCACCAGCCAGAGTGATGGTTTTAATGACCCTAGAAATGTCACGGCATTCTACAACACCCTGGGGTCCCCCTGCCACTGTCGGATTCTTTCAGGACATCTCTGCATCCACAGAGTCTGCAGCTATTGGGAGGGGAGCCAGGGAGGAGTCCTGTACAGAGCCAGGGACTCAGGGGCCCCTTCCTCACCCTCCTCCTTGGGAGATGACCCTAGCTACTTGGGCATGGACTCTTGAAGGGTTTTATCTAGAAGTCAGATTGTCAGTATGTGGTGACATCTTTTTAAAATCTACACATTTCAGGGTGGATATTCGGGAAACTTTACAAGTGTTCCTACTTACTAAAACCTGCATAAGACTAAAAAAATATTGCTGAGCTTAATTAATATCACTGCTTAAAGGCAGACTGTTGTATGCATTGTCTCAGGCTATTGAGGTCTCAAAAAAAAAAAAAGGGTGGGGGGAGGCATCCCAGAAAGAAATGCACCAGCTCTTTTCAGTCCTGGAAGCCACGCACCTGAAATCAAGACATCTTAATACACTGGCCCGGTGACCAGGTCTAGTCGTAGCATGTGCCAGCAGGCACTGTTCCAAGCACTCTGTAAGCATTAACTCATTCAGCCCTGAAAGAGCTCCAGAAGGTAGGAGTACTGTCAGGTGGGGTTGGCAGTAGGGGGTAGGTAACTTGCCAAGGTCACACAGCTGTTAAAGAGCAAAGCAGACGGGTTCCTGGGCCCACAGTCTTAACAGGGGGCTCTTCTTGGGTTCAGCACCTAAGGCAGGGTTTATCAGGCCCAACACCGTTGACATTTGGGTTGGATGGCCTCTGTCCACTATCTGCTAGCTGTACCACCCCACCCCAGGCAAATGACAACCAAAAATGTCTCCAGGCACTGTCAGCTGTCCTCTTGGGGCAGAATCACTGTCATTCAGAAACTGCTGACACCAAGTATAAAACCAAAAGCTTAGCTAGGACTGGTAGAGGCCCAGCCTCCTCAGGATTGCAGACTGCTAAGTCATTAGACCCAAGCCTTATGCACATGAATTTAAATAACGAGCTTTGCGTTTGGCACACCATCCAAACGGAATAAGAGTGTGAGTCAAACGACCCTCCTTTCTCATTGCTTGCTGTGATGTATGACTGGCACTGCGTCTGCATCATGGTGGGGGTAGAACGTGGACCAGAAGCCCTGGGCCCTGTAAGTTCTGGCATAAAAGCAGTAACTTAGACTCCCAGGCCTTCAGAACCATCAGAGATCTTTGCGCATCCATTCCAGTCTACCATTTTACAGCAGGGGACACCAAAGTTCCAAGAACCTAGGGAATGACTCCAAGGTTGCCTTCAGCTTAGTGTCAGCGGCACTGAGCTAGAAGCATCTCCCGGGCTTGCTAGAGACTGGGTGTGGTTGGGTGTCCTAAAGGTTCTGTTCTGAATATTCAGCCCTGTTGTGCATGTGTCTCTGCAGCCAGTGGTTCTCCTCCAGCACCAGCCCGGGCCCCCCCAGGCCCCACCTCTTCCACTGCAACTTCAGCTGTGTCTTCCGCTGCCGACGCCTCTGACCAGGACCAGTCCACAGTCACTAATAACCCAGAGCCACGTGGGTGAACCGTGCACTCCAGGTCTCTCCACTTGAGCAATGATCCCTTCAACAGCCGGTATTGGGAGGCTAAGGCCAGAGCATTACCCTGATAAACACCTTAAAAATCTTGTCCACTGTATGCAAATTTTGCACTTGGTGTGATTTTTTTAAAAAACTCCAATTACAAGGAAGTACCCAGAGCAGACAGTGGTCATACCAAAAGTTCTCAAAGAAATCCAAGGAACATTTTGGTCAGAGGGACATCTGGGGAGGTTCACTGGACCCCATAAACTTCTGTTCTTGTGATCGTGTGTTTGGGGAGTCACAGTTTTGCTTGTGGCTCATCTGGATTCTTTGACACAGAGAGGCATTTTGAAGAGTCTTCGTCCTTTGTTCATTCTCTTTTATCAGAGAACAGAAAACTGACTTTTGCACAAGGTAGATAATGTTTCAGTGCCCATGTTTGCCAGAGCCTGCTCCTCAAAGTCCAATTTAATCTTTGACTTCCAAAACCCAGAGGTTATAAGGAACCTTGAAAGAACTAGTTTGTGGCTGGAAGTGTAGGGAAGATAATGGCTTTGTAAATTGGTTTACATTTTTCTCCTTGAATTTTTCTAGGGTCATAGTGCTTCCAAACCACTTGATGACATTGTTGGATATCTTTTATGTTTCAATTGCAATCCATAAAATATCATCCAGAAAATTCTTAGTATTTAAGTGTAGTCTTCTCCATGAATTACCCATTAGAATAGACCGGCCGCAACGGAATATGCAGAAACCAAGCCTGTAGCTCATAGTCTCATCCCCACCCCTGATGCCTGCCTGAGTCTGTATAGGGGCGTGCGTATGTGTGTGCGCGCGCG